GGCTCGGAGGAGTGGCGGTCACCTCGAGACCACGAGCCTAGGAGGAGCGGAGGACGGTGTTTTAAGCTGGTTTTGCGAGTAAGTAACTTGCATGAAAGGGGCGTAAAAGTGCTGGGTCTGCAAGATGCAAGTTTAGGCTAAGTAAATATTTGCAGGCTAACGCTGAAAGAAAACTTCAAAGGAAACGAACTAAGTTTCTTTAAATACACAAGTGAGGCTTCATCTTTTCGTTCTGCTTTTTTTAAAGCTTGCCCCTGATAATTTTTGGATTGGAAGGAATTCCTTTAGTTCGCGATGCCATAAACTAAGGACTAGGTTAAGAGCACTCTGTAAATACAGGTATTTAGAACATAAAACTGAGGACCTGGTGGGTTTCGTTCCACTTGGGAAGTATCATGCAGATTTGCTATTGATGAAAAGTTTCGTGTCTCAACACAAGCTGTGTTTTTAAAATGAAAACTTTTTTTTCTTTCCAGTTTGCAGCAGTGTGTGAGCTTTCTCTCTAGATGAGAACAGCTGCAGAAAATTTGAGTTATTAATGTAAATTCTAATTGAATGTTCTATTTCTCCTTTCCCCAGTGTCTCAATTTAAAATGGTGAATTACTCTTATGATGAAGACCTTGAGGAACTGTGTCCAGTCTGTGGAGATAAAGTGTCCGGGTACCACTATGGACTTCTCACCTGTGAAAGCTGCAAGGTTCTGTCCTAATTACTTCATACAAACATAAGTACAGCAAGAAAGTTTCAAATATAAGCAGAAAAAAAGATAATTAAACAGATGTGTAATAATTTGGCTTATTTCTGATCTGTTTCTTGTTATATTCACATAAAAAAATTAACCACCAAAAAGCTTTAAGATTTAGAAGTTTCTTGGGGAGGTCTCATCTGCACAAATGGAAACAACTTGGACTGTTTTCATTGTAGTTTTATCGTTGCTTTTAAGTATTTTGCTGTTGTGAAGTCATGTAGTTCTACAACAACCTTCATTCCTAACTGTCCTAAATATTGATTTTAGTTGATTTATATACATTGAGTATTTCTCAATGTATTGAGAAATTGAGTATTTCTGTTCTTGGAGGATGAATAAGGAAAAGTATCCTCAATACACACCAGCTTTGCAAAATCTAATGCAGCTCGCAAGTTTTTTTTTTCATTACAATGTAAATTTCTGTGACTATAATGACCACGCATGTTTTTCATACAAACTATAACTGTCAGAGCTCACTTGACACACAAAGTCAAGTAACTAATGATATGTTTTAGATCATTTAGTAATTTTGAGAATAAAATATTTGTAGATGCAACTTAACGTACAGAAGATAAATGTATCTGCATAGTTCTATTATACTAAAGAGTTTAAATACTTACAATTTATGTCATGTCAGATTTGTCATACAAAATTTTTTTTGAAGTTCTTTATGGTTAAGTAAAGAAAACTCCTGTAAAGGAAACTCCTTTGCCAGAACAATGCAATTTAAAATATTTAGTTGCATGGAAAAATTAACTTAGCACATTATATTTTCATTTAAAAATAATCAATAAGAAATGAACAACAAGCACTTATTATGCCTCTAGCATGCACCACTGGGATGTACTGTAGCCAGAGGTACTCTATGTCTGTTCTCTTTGCAACAGTCTCCCTACTTATCTCATGTAAAACTACTTTAAAGAGAAAACTTTAATAATTTTTCAATGATTAAAGAATTCAAAAGGAATTGGACAGCCCTATTATTTCTGCTACCACTGTTAGGGGTACCGGAGACTATAACCAGTCTTACTAAGCTTTGACATAATTCTATAAAACATAGCATTAACACAAGAAAACCTCTTCTGGAGTCTGGTGATTTTTCTCCTGGGAACATCTCACTGTAATTTAAAATAAACTATGTAACTTCCTAAGTGCTTGAGTGGTGTCTGAAAAATATGTTACAATAATTTCCATAAAATAAAATGCTGAAACATGCTCTTCAAGCAAAACAGGCTAACTTTTGTATCTATCATACAGGGATTCTTTAAGCGAACAGTCCAGAATAACAAAAGGTACACATGTATAGAAAATCAGAATTGCCAGATTGATAAAACACAGAGAAAACGATGCCCTTACTGTCGATTTCAAAAATGCCTAAGTGTTGGAATGAAATTGGAAGGTAAGAGCTACAGTATTGTTGATATTTTCACCCATCCTATAGATTAATTTTGAAAATGATAGGATTACATATGTTATTACATGCTATTTTATAAAAAAAAGCTACATACTTATTGTGTTTGAAATTATACTAAAAAGGTGACTTTGTATGCTCAATGAAATTGTTTCTTTATAAAAAAAAATAAGTGAATGGTAAATCACTAACAACTAGTCCAAACCGTAATTCCTTTTTTTCATATATGTATATAATTTGATATTTCAGTATTTTAGAGTTTTTGAATGAATGGATCTAAATAAAATAGTTTTGCATATTTTTAATGAGACTTAATTAAGATTAGAAATAAAACATGTAAGAAGTGTTCAGATTACGAAAAATAAGTAATTGCTGTGGAGAGTGAGCTGATTTTATTTATATTTTATGTAGGGATTGGATTTTTAATATATATTCTTCTGACAGTAAGGCAAAGAACAGAGAAACAGTTAAAATAAGGGGTTTTCTCCACACCGACTTGGCTTTGAGATTAAGGAACCAAATAATCTCTAAAGTTGTGTCCTGTATTTTTGTGATGCTACATCTGAGATGCTATTATAAATTAAAGAGAATAAAACATTTTGAAGTACACTTTTTTACTTCATTTCACTTTTTCATATAGAGAGAACAACGAATAGCGTACAATACCCTTTGAGATAACAGAATACAGAATTATCATTAACTCGGATTTGAGAATCATACCCAATTAATTCTCACTTTGGTGTATAAAACATTAAAATTCAGATTTCACAGCAAATGACATTTCTGTTTGACCAAGGACAGGATCCTGAATTTCTTATTCTTACAATTGAACTGAAATGGCATTCACCCTAGATGCTTAACTAGGAAAAATCAGGCCAAGGAGGGAAACCATTAAGGGAACCATAAAGGATAAGACCCAATCACCTGAGCCTGACAAAGGAAATCTGTTGATACAACTGAAGATAAACAGAAAGAGCAGCCTCCTGCAGTTTGATGGATTCAATACTACTCTATTTGCCCACAAGACTGAGCTAGCACTGACACACTAAACATCCTGAATCACTGCGTGTTCTTCCAAATTCAAATTGTACAAACCCAGAATACTTGGATTCCTTCTCTCGTGGTTGATGTTAAGAATAAGGATAAAATACATTTATCTACCCCTACTTTTAACTCCTCTTGATTACTCACAGTGATACAGGATGAGATCTTGTCTTTTGTGATTACATGCATTTCACCTTAATTTCTACAGGAGTTATACAAAAGCGTTTGGTAATCCAGTTTGGCACACTGTCTTTAGTTGTAGAATATCTGGGAGGATATTCTGCATACAGATTTAAAGTTAATTACATTATTAGAATGGTGTAAAAACTTCCTGCATTTTGCTCAAAATCAACACTCAATAGCAATATTAGCTGCAGCATTTTTACCACAAATATAAGTAAAGTGCCTGTAGTTTTAAAGATGCTCTAGAAAATGTACTTAACTTTCTTATCCACATATCCATACAACTTCTTTTCCTTTGTTTAGAAAACTGGAAGAACACGTGCTTCCACACTTGTAAATACTTGTGACATTTCTATGTGTATTTCCCTGATAGCGATATATATAGCCTTAAAGTCTAGTTCATAAATTACCAGGGACCAAAAAAAAAAAAAATCATTACGCGTTAAAGTCCTTATGATAATGTACAGTATTATGTGTATCTAGCATTCATAATAAATTTTTAATGTTCTACTAATCCCTAAGATAAAAAGCTCAGGAACTTAACCTCCAGCAATCTCAGCAGTCTCAACATGTCACCAGGCTGTCAAAGGTTCCTCTTTCAATCTAATTGCCGTTGGGCAAGGTGGGCTTGGGGAGAGCTCCTCACTAGTCTGTTACATATATACCACGGTGACAGACACTGCTGTGACAGAGACCACCAGTACGACTCCCAAGGCAGCTGTTGAGGTGGATTTGTTTTAATTATTTCTAATTCCAGAGATATTACAAGCCAGAACAGGGTCAATACTTTCTGTTTCACTTCCACCTTCTGTGTGGAAGGCAGCAAGCTGACAGCTTTCTCTGTGCATTCCAACTGCAGCTAAATATTTCTGTAGAGCTGTTCAGCTGACTAGAGATCTCAAAGTTTTACACCAACATGAACAAAATAACGAAAAGGAAGTATTTCCTTTTTGCCAAGAAAATCACATTCCCCTTTGTGACTACTGAACATTTCGCAATTTACATTTCAGATGTTTTGCTGCAGTGGAAGGCAGTCATGGAGTGATTATAATGAGACAATGTGGTCTGCTGGATACGTCTCAGACAAATTCTGGACATCAGCCCTTGTTTCTTAATGACATAGTAGCTTGACATAAAACCAAATATACATTAAGATATCCACATGATCCCATAGCAGGTGTGAAATTCCTGTAGCCAGCCATTGAGTTTGTTCCTGTGTTCTAATCAATGTGAAGAGAAGTCCTTCTATGTTAGTAAAATATGCATGTGATATTTCAATTACCAGAAGAAGGTGACATTTGTTAAGTCAAAATAAATCTTTTTCTTTAGGAATAAAAATGTTACTTTAAATATGAAAAAAAAATCCAAAACAAAATAGGGGTTACAGTTTTACATTTCTGCTGTGTCCTATTGTATGTTTCATTAATGAATGCTGATCCCAATTTTTAGTTATGATTTACTTCCTCCTCTCCCCGACAGCTGTGCGAGCTGACCGAATGCGTGGCGGTCGAAACAAGTTTGGACCAATGTACAAGAGAGACAGGGCACTGAAGCAGCAGAAGAAAGCTCTTATCCGAGCAAATGGACTTAAACTGGAAGCCATGACTCAGGTGATCCAAGCAATGCCAACTGACCTGACAATATCCTCTGCAATCCAGAACATCCATTCTGCCTCTAAAGGCCTACCTCTGAACCATACTGCCTTGCCTCCTACAGACTATGACAGAAGTCCCTTTGTAACCTCTCCAATTAGTATGACAATGCCACCCCATGGCAGCTTGCAAGGTTACCAAACCTATGGCCATTTTCCAAGCCGTGCTATCAAGTCAGAGTATCCTGACCCTTACACTAGTTCACCAGAGTCAATAATGGGCTACTCATATATGGATAGTTATCAAACAAGCTCACCAGCAAGTATTCCACATCTGATATTGGAACTCCTGAAATGTGAGCCAGACGAGCCGCAAGTCCAAGCTAAGATCATGGCATATCTGCAGCAAGAGCAAGCCAACAGAAGCAAACACGAGAAGCTCAACACATTTGGGCTTATGTGTAAAATGGCTGACCAAACCCTGTTCTCCATTGTTGAATGGGCTAGGAGTAGCATCTTTTTTAGAGAACTTAAGGTAGGTAATAATTATATTATAATTCAATCAAGAAAAAAAATACAGTTTGTTACAATGCTGTACTTCAGGAAAGAAAGTATGATTTATCTTTCCTTTCCCTTCCCTCCTCTCCTCTCCCTCCCGCTCTCCAAGTATCTCATTCTTCATTTAATTTGAAGTAGGCCAGCTATTATGAGGAGAAACTTGCAGTCGTCTTCCACCTGAGCCTGTCATTAGCTGTAGCAGAGATTCAAGTCTTAGCTCATCTGTACTTTACTATTTATCACAACTGTTCCTAACGTCCATAGGGTCAAGCATAAATTTTAGTCCTTCCCTGTCAGTATTGCTCACTGTTTGGCTTGTATTCAGAGTTGTAAGCATGCCTGATACACCATTCTACATTCATTTATGTAATTATTTTATTACCTCATTTAACATATGAGGAAACGCCCTTCCTGTCCATCTCTGTACACTCTATGTAAGTCCACATTGGGAATATTCACTTTCCCACTGGGATATTATTTTGGGAATTCTTGTGTGTGTAGTTAACCATGAAGGCTCAATCCTAAGCAGGATATACACAGAACAGAAAGCAAGGAGGAAGAGGATACGTTAAAGACTCCTTTTGGTTCTCATCACTGATACATGGGGGGAGTTCCTTTATTCTAGTCTGGCTACAATGACAATGACCTTTAGGCTCTTAATTTTGTTGGAGCAACCAATAAATCCTTATGCACAGCTCTCTGGTGGCCAGAAATTCCCCCATTTACATTTCTTGGACTTTTGTTAAGGCAATTTTGTGGTCTCTTGTGGCCGGGTCTGAAATTTTAAGCCAGAAGTTTGGGATCAGTCAGAGATAAAATACAGTCTTTAACCACTCTCATGGTACAGAAATTAGTTCTGGAATGAATAAAAGGTCTTCTGTCTCTGAAAAACCTGGAGATGATGAACTCAAATCACATCTGAATTTCCCTATTACATTGCTGGTTACTGAATCTGCTATACAGAGATGGTTTTGCCACAACTATTCACTGCTGAAATCTGTGAAGTTTTGTGATCAACCATAATTTCTTGCTGACTGCTCTCAAGATAAGGGAAAATAATACAATATCTAAATACAACAGTTAGTGTAGAAGTTCACTGAGAATTGAATCTACATGAATCAAGAGCACAGAATGGAGATCCCACTGAGAAGCTACAGTCAGGATGCCTGCCACAACAGTACTGCTGTCATAACCATCATGATGCAGACACATGAAATAAAGCCTGATTATAAGGAAAGGAAGCTGTGTAAGTTGTGTACACAACTCCAGCTTCTCCCCAGTTTTTCAAGATAATGGTTGAAGGAATGATTAAAAACTCAGTCTATATAAAGAGGAAAAAAAAGGAAGTTTACTCAGAGAGGAAAGAAAATGGATTAATAAATAAATTTATGGATTCCATAAACTGGAAATGGCCATAAACTGGAAAACAGAAGGTTCAAATTGAACATGAGGAAAAACTTCTTCCCTGTGAGAGTCACAGAGCACTGGCACAGGCTGCCAAAAGAGGGGGCAGAGTCTCCTTCTCTGGAGACTTTCCAAAGCCGCCTGGACTTGTTCCTGTGTGATCTACTCTAGGGAATCCTGCTCTGGCAAGGGGGGTTGGACTAGATGATCTCTAGAGGTCCCTTCCAACCCCTTCCACTCTGTGAATCAGTGGATTAAAGAGAGAAAAAAAGTGTCACAGATTTTATAAGCATTCAACATGCTATACTGAGAATAGTTTTAGAGGTGGTCTTGACTTTCAACCTCAGCCTGGATGATGTTCTTCATCCAACATATGTTTAGAGTATGGACACAAAAGATAGAGAAATTTGTTTCATGAAAATGCTGACCAACATATCCTGAGTCTGTATCTATAAATACACTACCATGTACATATGGACTTCTGGAAATACAGATGTTTTTCTAGAAATTCTCTACATAAAGCCTTTGGCTAGTGAACTGACTTTCACACATTTTTAGACGACAGTGGTTTTATCTTAGTATTTGTACCGTTTACATCTTAGAAGCTTAAGAGTTCAGACAGTTTCATACCTTCTGGTATATCCAATTTTTTTTTTTTTTTTTTTTATTGGGACAATCAACTAAACATTGCAAAGCAATATCCATTTACTTGGAAATCCATCCACATCCAATATTTAGGGTCCAGATTACTCATAATGCTAAGAACTTTAAGCTTTTCAACTTCAAAAAAAGTTAGGTGCTCAAAACGTGTTTAGATCAGACCCTGCTTTGTTACCAGCACCAGGTACCACCACATCTCTTTGCAGCTGAGAGGAGAGGATCAGAATTAAACAAAGTTTCCAAACCTTTTCTGAACACAGCTCCCTTCTATCCATCCATAGTTTCAGCTCCTCCTGATCAAGGTAGCAAAAGCAGCTATTTCAGATTGCTCCACAGAACATGAATACCTGTGGGAGAGGGGAATAAAAAACCCCTAACACCTAAGGACGTGACAGATTTTAAATGTAGAAGAAAGGGAAGAGACAGTTGTAATAAAGATGCAACTAGATTTTCAGAACAGCTGGCTTGGTTCCCAACCTATGCATAGCTGGAAAGTACGTATTTGCTTGAGAAGATATTTTCCTATTATTCCTACTTGTCTAAACTTAACAACTAAATCTTGAGATGTCTTTCAGATAAGATAGGTGCATGAGCAGATCTCTGGGACTAAAATGTTAAATTACTGAAATAATTAAACAGTTAAAAAGTTCAAATGTGGTTTGTATGAAATTTGTCATGATTTTGTCATGATAAGTGATGACTTGCACAGCTGCCTGTCAGTTACTAAACAGCATGTTTGCTATTCTTTACCGTGTCCTTTCACTTCATTATAATTTTAGTCTTACAAATTTGTCTCTTCAGTTTGTATAAAAGGGCAAACATTTTCCTTTCTACTACACCTAGAGATTTATAGCTAGCAGAGTTCAGGAGGAACGGAAGAGGAGGAAGGCATGATAAAAAATGCTGTCCCAGTCCATCAGTGGTTTAGGCCGCATTTACCCCAGAGATAATAATGAAAAGCTACCAGTGAACTACAGTTCTAAGTTTTCTTTTTCTTTCATTTGGCTGATTTTTTTTTCCCCCAAGACATCTCAAGTGATAACAAACATGTTTTAAAGCTTTGTTTCGTGAAGCATTTACCAGCTTATGCTTATCATAATCTTCTCACTTGGTGCTCTACAAATTGTCAACACCTCTTTTGGAAGGTGTTATACATCTAAGCATGAAAGAGGTTGACTTGGGGGAACTACCTAGAGTGATCACTGCACTCTACAGAATTTGACCTGTGAAATGAATTATGTAATTCAAGGCTAATGCTCATACTTGATAACGAGTGATACCCTTCATGTTGGGTATCAGAAATTAATGGAAACATTAATGCAGCAAACTAGTCAGTCTTAGTAACGATGTCATCGTGAGATCCAAAGCAGACAGTGGCAATCCAGTAACTGAATTTAACACTTGCTAAAATCTCAAACATACCTATTTGTCTTCTGAAGTCAGGATACTTTTAAATTAGAAATTACATCATAAATTCTGAGTTTTGACATTACATGTTACTTGCTTATTCATAATGAGAAATGTTTCTGTATAGTTCTTCATAAACAGATTAAATAAGAATATGGAAATAACCTTCTCATAGACTCATGATGTATAGTAATAATAGTAATAGTAAAGAAGGCCTTTGTTTGCTATTCTGGAGTTGTTGAAAGCTCAATAAATATAAAGGTAAGATATATCCAACTTAGACAAGAAAATTCAGGAGTGCCCTGGGGATGCTAGATTTGTAGCCAGCTGTCTTAGTCAGGTGAAAGGTCTTTGTACAAAGCTAAAAAGAAAATACTGCAAGAGTTTCTAAAGTCCAAAGGTTATCTGGCCCCAAGAAAGGATGCAGACAGTTTCACTGGACTGGTCTTTCCTCATCAGCCCACAGCAGGGAAAATTCAAGAACTACTTCCACAGCTAAGTACTCCTGAACCCATAAAAGAAATCAGTCTTTGCCTGGAGCAGGAATAAAGCAGTACCTGCACTTCAGAACAGTCGTCAGGATACTTTCTCCTGGCTGAGGATCAGAAAATTAACTAAATGTTGATAGCTACAAAAAAGGCACTAAAGGACTTGTGACTCACAAAAACTATTACCTTGACTTATTTGGCTATTTTAGTGAGGATGTCATAGGTCAAAGTACTATGTGAGCACAAACCCATTTAGTGAATGATTGCAGGAAGAGCTGGTATACTTCATGTTCAAGCAGCTCATCCTAGAACTATTCACTGAGTTTGCAAATTTAGGCCATTCATTGATGTCAGACTGTCATTTCTGGGACAGATTTCTTGTTGTAAGTATAAATTTGTCCATGCTTACACTAGCGGCAAATGTGGCCTCCAAAGAAACAAGGGTATAACATTATCTCAAAAGGACCATATCTATAGAACTTCTACTGTACCTGGTAACACAGATGTTTTGGCAGCTAGTAAGGGAACAGAAGTCTAGTTTTGTATTACATATTCCCTATAAGCACAACTATATTAGCGGAGTTCCAAATTATTTCTTAAAACAGTGCAAACTTAGTGTGAATAGCATTAACAGAACTCCTGGAGTGTCTTTATTTTTTCTGTAAAGTGTATTTAGATAGATATGGTAATATAATACTCAATACATCAACTTTACTTTCAAATTTCAGTTTCCATGTGATTAAGTATCAAGAAATGCATAGAAAATAAGGAATTACAGTACAGAAATCCAATTATTGAACTGAATTAACACAGAATAGGAAAAAATAGGGTGGTTGTTTTGAGAAAAAATATCAGCAGGGGAATACCTTAGAAGTTGCTCTTCAGGGTGATGAAAGGTTGATAGATTATTTAAACTTAAGTAATCAAAGGCAATTTAATAACTTGAAGTGCTTTTGGACTTTGTAGTATGTGTTTATCAGGACAGGAAATGTAACTAACATCAGCTGATGAAATAAAA